ATGGGGTTAAGATATGATAATTGAGCTGGCCAGGTGTTAGCCTTTAAAACATCTCTTTCACCAAGTTGCCAGTATATATATATATATATATATATATAAATATATATATATATATATATATATAATATATATATATAAATATAAATATATATATATATATAAATATATATATATATAAATATATATATATAATATATATAAATATATATATATATATTATTATATATATATATATTATATATATATATATATAAATATATATATATATATATATATATATATATATATATATATATATATATATATATATATATATATATATATTGCGCCGCCCTGTTTATTAAATTATTTAGCAATATGTAAAACCTTTTTTCCAAGGTCTTTTTGTAATTATATTATGTAATTATTCCTTAATAAATATTTTGAAATCCTATTCCCTTATGAGAAATACATCTATATATACTAATCGAGCTGCTATATTTTTCTGAAAAACGATGACAATACACCCTTGGATACCTAAAATTGTATTTTACAAATTTTATCCAGGTCAACCATTATTCAGTCTTTTTAGATTATACTATCGGGAATGGCTCTTTAAGATCTATTTTTAAGCTTAAGGTTGAGAGGAAGAAACTAAGTTGTTTTGCACAATTTCTTTATCTTTCAACCTCCTGATTAGCTCCCTGAAATGCAGTGGGCCACCTGCCTTGAAAATATAAATATTATTGAAATTAAGCAAAACTAATCCTAATTATTATTTATTATATTTTGAATGGTCATTTTTAGTTTATATTACATTTTGATATGATTTACTAAATTTTGATACTAAAATATTAGATGTATAAGTACAATTAATTTTTACACAACTTATATAACAGGTCAAGTTTTGTTTTTAATGTATGGAATGCTTTATTTATAATTTTTAATTTTATTTATATTAAAAACAGAGTGAAAAAAATATATATTGTTGCATTTTGGTTTTGCTCTCACCTATCCTGATTTCAGTAAGACATCATCAGAGATGTTTTGTTTTGCCCTAAACCAGCAGTAAAAAATACAGATATATATATAATCTCATACAAATTAGCTTTATATATTTATACTTACTTTGAATCTGTTGCAAGCGGTTTATGCTCATAAAACCATGAATGTACTTCTTTATCTTCTTCTGGATCAAGATCAATTTGAACAGCTTCTAAAGGCTCAACATCAAGAATGTTGTCAGCATAATCAAGTGGAGGTTCTTCGTCATCAAAAGGAGGAAATCTCATTCTTTTAAAATGGTGACGATCACGTTTCTCTCTTCGCATCATAATCCACATAGTTCTATATTAAACACATTATTTTATTATTATTTATTCTCAATAAATAATAATTAAAGACTCTAAATTTTTTTGTTTCCACAAACAAAAAATACAACACAAGATCTGTTTCTACAAATAAAAAATTATAGGCTAACTAATATAATGAATAAAAACAACATCACGTACCCCCATTGTGCAATGTAAATTGGCTCAACAACCCATGGAATTTCATCAATGAAAGTGATAGCACCTGTTATATGATATAAAACTTTAACATCTCGAATTTGCTCCCAAGGCATTGGCATATTTTCTAACATTTTTAATACAGCATGAGGCATGTATTTCAGAGCACTAGAAAAAATGCATTTTCATAAAATTACTAAATATTGAATGTATTTTAAAATAAAATCAGCTTTATACAATAAAAAAATAGTACAATAACAAATATAACAATAAACAATAAAACCTTTGACATGAAAAATAAGCATTTGTATTCCTTATAAAAAATATAATTTTTATTTGTGTGCATCAGTTATTAAGTATCAAGTGGTGTGCTTAGTGAAACTCGTTTAATTTCTTTTTAGGAAGTATAGGTGTTGTTTTAATTTTATTTAGTTCCGTTAAACCAAAAACTTATGGAGAAATTTAAAGTTTTCTGGTCTGAAATAATGTATTAACTGTTGTAAAAAATATTTTTGGGATTTTACTGCAACATATCATTTGATGAAAAATTACATTGCAAAAATTTTTGTAATATAATTTTTATTATACTACAAAAATTTTTATCAATAATTGTTATTATTTTATAATAACAATTATTGATAAAATTGTTAACAAATTATTCAGTGGATATGTGAACAACTTAACTTATGCTTAAACAATTACTTCTATGCATATATTAAAAGTACTGTATCCAGAGATAGTTAAGGCAGTACCCATTGTGAAAATCCCCCCACCCCCTAAATTTTTTCTTTTAAATCACTTAAACATTTGTTAGACGTCTTAAACACACCTTGTGTTTCTACTTAGACCATGTTAAGAAGCATTACGCAGTAAGCACATTATGCTAAGCAAATATTTATACCCATAAGAATATTCAAACTGTTTTTTTTTTTTTTGTTATATGACCTTTATTAAGATTAATTTAATTATTGTAAAAAACATGTTAACCACATTTGTGAAATCTTATTTTTTGATTAAAAAAAATTATATAATTAAGTAATTTTTTTTAATTTTAAAATATCATTTTATATCATTCCTTAAATTCACGTTTATATAATTACATACTTATGTATAAAATATAAGTAAACATCGTTGATAAAGTTCACCACTAAGTGCAAAGTACAGCTAACAATAATGAAAATTTTTTCACATTTTTATTGCTTTAATTTAATGTTGAACTTTATTAATATTGGAATTGATAACCTACGAATTTTTTAGTTTAGGCTCTTTAGTTTGGGCAACCATACCAGTCAAACAGTATGGGGCTATGTCTGTGTATGGCACTGATTAAAACTTTCAAAAATTTTAAATGTTATAAATGCAATTTTGAGAAACTTGTCAACCAAAATTGCTTGAAGCAATGAGTACAAATAAAGAATCTTGAAGCATTCTTGACAATTAGACAGAAAACTACTAAAACAAAAAATTGATACTTATACTAATAAAAAAACAGTAAAAAACTGTTCTATAAAATTTTTTTTTTTTTTTTTTTTTTTTTTAATTTTATTTCACCTCCTCAAGGCCGAGAAGGCCACTACAGACGAGGAGGCTACTTATTTAAGGTTATAACCCTCTCTCAACTCTATAACTCCGAAACACGAACCTTGACGAGCAAGGCCGCTGCGCGGAGAAACGAGTTGAGCGCGGTACTACCAGGGACGTGGTGGGGATCGAACTCGGAACCACTCGTTTATGAAGCGAGCGCTCTACCACTACACCACTACCGCATAAATAGCTTTCTATAAAGAAGCATTAAATAAAAACTTGATTTTAATATAAACTTATGTTCATTTTATAAAAATATATAAAATTAAGTTCATTTTACTTCAACTAAATTTAATAATTTTCACTTTTCACTTTTTACACACACCTTTTGACAAAACCTTTTACATAAATAATGATTGAATTTTATGGTCAAAAACAAATGTAATACAAGTGCTAATGTAATACAAATGTAATATACTTTTTGAAACATAACCAAAGACAGTATTGTTATGCAGATTTTCAATTATAACATTATAAAATTTGCTTTCAAGGGATCACATACTTTTAAAAGACTTCACAAATAAAATGAGAGGGTCTTTACATGTGTAAATAGTTATTTTTTACAAAGCATATGGAAAAATTTTATGCGATGGAGTAGGTGGAACTGGCAAAAGAGTTATTAATAAACTGTCCTTTTAAAGTCTGATTTCTAATCGGTCTTCAAAGATTTTGGCACCAAAGGACATATTTTTAATTACTAAAGAAAATTGTAAAACATTAGATATATAGCATTTTATTGTCCTAGTTTATGTGTGTTGGATTTTTTTATTAAATAATTGACATTTTGTATCCTATATCATAATTGTTATAAAAAGTCAATCATAATATAACAAATTTTAAAATTTTTGCTATAAAAGTTTTTTCAAAGAAAATTGTATAAAAAAATAATTCATTAAAAATAAGATCTTATTTAAATACATCTTTAACATTATGTCTTCAAAATTATCTGATTTAAACTTTTTTTTTAATTTCTCTGCAAATAAATTGTTTTGCTGTATGCTAAAAAAATACTTCAACGTACTTTTTGAATTAAAGTAGAAAAATGCAGCTTTATTTAATAAAATTTAGTTGCAAAAGTCTACCGTGATGTCAAATACTAAATTTTTTTATGAATTAAATGTGCTTCAAAGGAATCGCCAAAGTCTGTAGATTGCAACATATAATTTAAAAACTCTGAGTTTTTGAGCAAAATGGAGTAGGCAATGCATTCATTATTTATTTTTAACTAAAAAAACTTGATTCAAATCTTTTTTTCAACATTATCTTCAGTATGAACACAACGTGTGAAGATGCCTTTTGGGATGCCTTTAAGTCTTTTAAAAAAACTATTCTGCATCATTTGGATGATATCAATTGTTTTTGATTTTGAGATATAATATACCTTGTGTAAACTTTGTTTAAAGTATCATGACAAGTATCTATCTATCTTAAAATGCAAACATAAACATGACAAGTTTATGTTTGCATTTTAAGATAGATAGATCTAATAGTCTTATATACTGTTGAAAAAAAACAACAAGTTTTTAGAACTATAAAGAAAATAGTTCTAAAAAAAATGAGACACTTTTTGAAAACGAGAAAAATGTTATAAGGTTTTAAAAAGTCTATTTTGACCAATTGTAAACCAAGAGAGCCAATTGTGTAGTGTTAATAGGCCTAAAACGTTGCACTTGGAAGTCTAATATTTCAAATTTTATCTGCATAATGTACATAATATGTAAAATCAGTAAGATCAGAGATAGTTTCCACAAAATTTCTTTAAATTGGTTGAAACATAAGGAATGGTTTAAACATAATGACCCATTTATCAAGCTTAGACAGAAATGACATGTGATGAGTGCTATTGCTGACCATGCAAATGATTTTACTTTTTGACAACTTGACCACAACTGTTTAAATGTTTAGATGGTCTTTAAACATTTCAGAAATGCACTGAAAAAATAAACTAGGATGAAAATTAAAAAATAAAAATAATCAAAAAGAATTCAAGAAACAAAACAAAAAGAAAATATATATGCACTAATATAAAACACAAAAAACTCAAACTCTAAGCGAAAATTTTTTTTTTGTTAAATTTTTTAATTGCATTTAAAATAAATTACTTATTTTGAAAAATAAATGTTTATACAATTTAAAAATAATATATATATATATATATATATATATATATATATATATATATATATATATATAATTATATTTAGATGAATAAA